ATCGCTGGCAGAATTCGCGACGAGCCTGCTGGCCACAACCGACTGCTCCCATGCACTCACGACTCTGTCAAGACCTTACTCACTCACACTCTGACTCGTGGCGCATGTATGTATTTATTATCATACTCCCGTATAATATAAGCAAGCGACTTGCCCGTGCGGCACAAGCAAAGCGATGGTCACGTGTCTACTCAAAGTGTATCAGCGCGACGGCGCTACGGTAAAGCCGAAATCGTCACCCTCTGTTCCATCTGCTGTTTCGCGTGGATCGTGCGTCGATGAGCTCGCGGACAATCCGTGTGTTGTGTGGGGGAGACAATCTGAATGCGCGTTTAGCTGATTCACCGTCATCAGCCCTACTCTTCTTCAGCCGTCCAGCCAGCCAGCGCATCGCATCTCATCTCATCGCATCGCATCGCATCGAGCAAAAAGGATCATCCCAATGACGGGCTCGCAAGACGAGGCAGAGGGTGTGGGTGTGCTCGCACGTGGAGGAGAGGTGGTGCGAGCGGATGAAGCATCAAGCGATGAAGAGCAACGTGGCGCGACGGCGACGGCGACGGCGAGACTGCAACGCATGCCATCCATCTCTGCTGCCAGCAGGGCATTGCCAAGAGGACTTCGAGCGCGCATCCTCAATTTCACACCTTCCTGGTTCAGCGTGTCGATGGGTACGGGTGGTGTTCACATCCTCCTGCTGCTCCTAGCCGACGTGTGGTCAGCCTACGCTTCGGACGCCACTGCAGATAATCACCAAAGCTTTGCTAGCAACACCACCTTGCCCGCCCTCATCCTCCGATGGCCTGCCCTCATCTTTTGGATCGTCAATTGCGCACTCTTCTTTACGTCAGTTTCTCTTCTCTCTTCATCCCTGCACATGTGCCGCCATCCACATCATGGCCAGCGCAAGTCAACTGACGTTTCAATGTTTTGCGTGTTGCCCCCCTCCCCCGCGCACGCATGCGCACGCAGCTTTCTGCTCGCTTTCATCAGTCGCTACGTGAGCGTCAATGTGCCCCCCCCCGCTTACGCATGAATGACAGCCGACTCCCTTTGCTCACACATCAAGTCGCCCACGCAGATCATGTTTCCTGCCGTCTTGCCTCTGACGCTGACGCAGTGAGTCTGCGCGCGCCTCTGTGGGGCAAAGGGAGCGCTGGCTTGGAGCGCTCTTTTCGCGCAAGGCGTCCCGCCGCCCGCCCGCCCGGCATCACACTCACACATTCGCCTCCACGCTTTGCTCGTCTTTTAGCCCTCAAAAGTCGCCCTTTTTGGGTACGGCACCCATGGCCTTTCTCACGCTCATCTCTTCCCTCTCCCAACTGGGCACTCGATTTTTCGCGCTGGGTGTGACTCCCACCATCCTAGCAGCTTCGCTCTGGTTCGTCGCTTGCTTCTTCAGCACCTTGTGCGCCCTCGTCGTTCCTTTTAGCATGATGATTCTTCAAAATCACCATTTTGAAGGCACGACGGCTGCCCTGCTCTTGCCCGTCGTCCCTCCTATCACTGCAGCGGCAACGGGAGCTGGCATTGCGGAATTGCTGGCCATCGACAAGCCATCCCTCAGCTTCACCGTCCTCACTCTGAGTTACATTATGAATGGCGTCGGGCTGATGCTCGCTTTGATGGTGAGGCATGCTTATCAGCGCTTCCAGCGTCGATGGCCACCCACGTATTTCGATTCGCCACCTACCTTTGCTCATCTCATCTGCTCACCTCGCCCTTCTTCACATCCCCGCAGATTCTCACTCTATACTTTCAGCGTCTGCTCTTGTTCAAGTAAGTTCGTCGCCCCCTCCCAGCGCCAGCGCGCTGCCCCAATCCGCTACGCAGCTGCGCTCGTCACTTTGCAAATTCTCCCGCGACGCACAGCTCATGCAGCACGCCCCCCCC